TTTTAGGGTTTAGGGTTTTGGGGTTTAGGGAGTTTGGGGGTTTTGGGCTTTCGGTTTAGGGTGTAGGGGTTTACGGGTTTAGGGTTTAGGGGTTAAGGGGGGGTATCTGATGGTCTACTTATAGAGTAGGGAGGATTATGTCAAGTATAGTGTGACAGCAAGAATCTCACGGACTTCTGAATGGCCCTGGCTGAGGTACATTGTCTGTAAACCAGCATGCTTTCATTGCACGGCTAGGCGACGCTAGACGCCCGGAGACTTTGATAAGATTGGAATTCTCCGTCTTGGGCTCACTGCGTGGATCAGCCAGCTCAGCAAGAGTCGTACCGTACTGAGTGTGATTTGGGGCTTTAGGGATGTAGTTTTAGGGTTAACCCTAAACCCTAAACCCTTAGGGTTAGGGATACAAGCCGGCAAGCCGCGAGCCTCGAGTCCTGACCAGGACAGCTCCACGAAGCCACCGCTTTTGGACTTAGCCACTGGCAGCGGCACTTCCCACGCCACGAAGGCCCACACAGGGGGCGGAAACGATAATCAAGCCCTAAGCCCCCAAACCCAAAGCCCTAAGCCCCTAAAGCCCGAAACCCAGGTCCTGGACTTCGCATCCTCAGGCTCAGAAGTCCCCGGTTTGAGTCTTCTGAGACCTTCAAAAGCTTTCAGCGACCAGACTGTAGGGGTTTAGGGCGAGTTGGCTTTGGAGTTGGGCATGGCTCGAAGGTCTCTGATTAGCGGAGGGAAGTTCCCGAGTAGGGCGTGTAGTGACTACTAGTGGTTTAGTGTTCCAAGTTCGAAGCAAGCTCTGAAGTTTCGGCCCGCCCTTGCGCCTCTCAGGCGGCTACGCCAGCCAGGGCCTCATGGGATTTTGGTCAAAAGTAATGATGTCGGAACTCGCCGCTCTTGCACCTATGTCTCGGATGCATGTGCTTGTTATGGAGACGTGATCGACCCTTCAGAAAAGCAGAAATGTTGGACGAAGGCTTGTGGCATGGTTGTGGCATGCCGTAGTCTAATTCTTATGCAGAGGGAACAGAGGAATATCTTGGTAATGGTGCCGGCCCTGATATGCTGGTGTTTCCGAAGGGGCGGGGCGGCATACTGCAGCTGGCATGCTTGATTGTGGTTGCTCAATGTTGTCAGAATTTTTGAGGAAGGACACTGGAACAGTCAAAGTCCATGGAACATCATCGGCGATCCCCTCGTGGCCTGACCATCGCAGATGCCCGCTGCATCTGCCGAAGCGACCCATACGCTGATAGTGCAAGGCAGCTCCCGTTGACGATGGAAGCGGCATCTTCCCCCTCTTCGAGCGACTCCTCCGCGAGGAGTTGGACGGCAAGGAAGGCGCGGAGCTTCGCGGAGTAGTATCCTAAACCCTAAACCCTGGCCCTCAACCCTAAAATGTTCAGAAGTTTGCGAAATGTGACTTCCGGGTTCAGGATGCTGGGAGAAGTCAGGGCCGAAACTCTCCGGGATCGCACACTTCCCAGCTCCCCACCCTGCTACAGCTCAACCCTCTTGCATTTGCATTATCTCTAATTTGTAACCTCGTATTGAACAAGGCCTGCGCTCTCACTCCTGGCCTAGCCAAGCTTATCCATCCTAACGCAAGAAAGCCGTGCTTCCATGGAGGCAGTGCGATTGACATGACGCAGCTTCCGCCAGTGAACTTCGACCTTCTTCCCAGCAAGGTTACAAGCAGCTTGGCCCGGCGGGAGAGAAGAGAACACACGGGTCAGTGCAGTGATGAGCTGCTGCAACAAGCAAGAGGATGCGCGTGTCCGGTGATGCCGTTAAAAGCTGATGGCGAAGAGTGTCTTTCTCATCCATAAGTAATGCTGGCTGAAAGTGGACTTTCTCCTGTTCGGCGAGACAGACTCTGCACCATTAGCAGCCCTAAGCAGAAGGCTGCTCGGAGCCCAGAAACCCGAACCTCTCACAAATCAGAATCTCCAACCTTGGAATCACCCCCAGGGGCCGATGCCGATAGGCCAAGAATCTGCAGCTCAAGACCGGGAGTATTGCGACTCTGAGTCGAAAAGAAGGCTGCTCTCCCAGGTATGCCTGAGGCCCTCGCAGCTCTGAAAATCGCCGACCAGCTTCTGGCGCAGCTGGACAACCTCAGCCGGGGCCTTGGAAGCTTTCTAGGAAACCCTAAACCCTAAACCCTAAACCCCTTGATGTCAGGCAGAGGAGAGCCTTCCTTTATTCAATAACCGCCGAGGTTCGAGCCTTCGCTTCGCGCACTTCCTGAAGATTGCCTTGGTCCAGCACACCTTCACGCGAAGCTTGGCTGCATCTACTTCCGAGGGGCCACGGGCTTGGCTGGCTGCATCGTGGAGCTGAGCAGAAACTCGTTTGACCGTTTGTCCCTTTGGGTTTAAGGTTTGCTGCCTGTACCTTTGGGTCCGGTGTCCCTGGCACGGGTGGGCACGAAGGATGATGCCGCTTGGCTCTGGAGAAAAGAGTGGACGCAGAACAGGGAAGACGCAAGCTACTGCCAGCTAGGCCTGTCTGAGTACAGAGCAGGATGACCACTGTTGAGGCTCCCATACCAGCCATCACACTCCCCAGCATCAGGCTCCCGTAGAGGCCTGAATCACGACTTCACGGAGCAGCGAGGTTTGGGGCACGGCCGCGACACCCGAGCAGCAGGTGGGCGGGTTAGGTTGTTTGTTCTTGAGACACCGTAGGCGAATCCCAGATGGGGCACATTGACATGACCAAGTGGCACCGAGATAAGACTATATGGAGGGAGGCATACTGGCCCGATCCACAAGATGCTGCTGGTGCTGCTGAGAATGATGAACCTTGCCGGCCGGAAATGAAGCCAAGCCGATTTTCCTTGCAAGCCTCAAGTTATCACAAGCTGCCGCGAAGGTTGACACGGCTCTCGTGGTCAAGCGTGCCTGGCTTGCAAGCAGTTCAGCAGATTAGCCCTAGACCCCAGCCGCCTCAAACCCAGCTCTTTCCACCCTATTTGTCCCGGATTCCGAAAAAAGCAGCAATGAACCCTAAGCAATACTCCAAAGCTCCCAACCAATTCCCAGGCATTGCGCAGCATTTTTCCATGAGCTGTGGTGCGACCTTCGGACATCGCGGCTTCGATGGTACCCGGGTTATCATCCTCGGAGCCATGGCCCCGTGGCTTTGTTAAGAGTTTAGGGCCCATGGCTTGAAGAAGTCTTAGATTTTTTCCGTGCTTTTCTTCGATGGGCTTAATAGGGGCTTGCAGTTTGTATTTGTAGGTTTTTGGTATCAGGGTTTCAAGAGGGTCCATGGAGTTCTGCAGCAGTTTTCGTAAGGTTTTTGGCATCTGGATCCGGGAGCCGTGGCCTATGGTTCGGCTAGACAGAACGATGACCCATTGAATCCCACCCTCTTGAAGTGAACTCACCTAGGAAAGATCGTGCTTAGAGTCCTCTTTTCAGTGGCCCCTATGTGACAAGTTTGATCAATCAGCCTTGCTGTGCTACCCTAAATGGTGCGAATCTGCCAGGTCACTTTGCTGGACCGATTGCTGCGGCAACCAGGCAGCTCCACGCCAAGCAAGGCAATGATGGGACGCCTGGATGATGTCGCCAGGCTGCGGATTCGTTGTAATCGTTATTGGTTTTCTTATGTTTGAAGTTTATGATGTTGAATGATGTTGAGCTATGCTTGCTCGTTATTCTGCTTGATGGCTTGGTGCTTTGGCATCCTGCTTTTGCTTTTGCAACCTGCATGGGTGCAGAATCGGTGTCGCTGCCCCTATATCGTCCACAACCCAAATCCTAAGCCCGCTAGGATTAAGGATTTAGGGTGTTCCTTCAGTTCTGAGGAGAAGGAGCAAGAAACTCGGTTTTTGGTCTCTTGGGAAGTCTTCGCCAAGCAGTCGGAGACTTTCCTGCCTCCCAGCTGCACAGTGCTAGATTGCGAGATTCTCAGCCACGATCATTGCGGCAAGCGCTTGTCGATTTATCGTTTGGGGGATCTTGGAGCTCGCTGTTTCTATTGTCATAGCCAGTGGTTGTTGTTCATTACAGTACCAAGGGGCGCTTTTACGATTACTTCGTCCTGTTCATATGCTTGTGTGCCAGAATGAGGGTTTAGCAGTATCACGGAGACTACGTTATGCACTCCGGTTGCTCTTATTGCCACGGCTGCCATGCCTCCACTACCACGTCACTACCATCATCATCATCATCGTCATCATCATCATCATCATATCACCATCATCATCATCATCATCCTCGTCATCGTCGTTGTCGTCATCAGCATCATCACCAAAATCATCGCCATCGTCACCGTCATGACTTCGGAGGCGACAGCATCATCACAGCCACGGCAACGAGCCCTGCGTGATCATTCACGTCAGGTTTTCTGCTTCGTGCCTGGTTGCTAGAATCAGAGGCTCTTCTCTCCGGACCTCAATGTCACCCGCGCGCGAAGCCTGGCCTACTTCCAGGAAGTGGAGCAGGACCGTGCCAGAACACCCTGGTAGCCACGAGTCCCGAAATCCTCATCCTCTGCCTCATCCCTATTTCCAAGTGCGTAGGTCAGCCTTACAGCCCTGCGCAGGAGGCCCAAGAGCAAGGAGCCAAGATGAAGCACCTCTTCCAGTGGGAGAAGGATGGTTGGGGGCCCAGCGAATCCATGCGTTTGCTTATTACCCTGAAGTTCTTGCTCGTTCTCTCGTTCTCTCTCCCCCTCTATCTGCACTCCAGCGAGTTTTGCATGCATATCCGGCACGCAGATCACCAGAACATCCAAGCAGCCCGAAGTCTCCATCCCTGCAAGGGCTTTACAAGGCTTGCTGCTTTGTATAAGGGTCCTAAGCCCGAAAGCCCGTCTCATCACCACCGCTGGCACGCTGACACTGGCAGTAGTGCTCAGGAGCATAGTCCGTGGTAGCATATTATAATATGCTTGTGTCACAGTATAGCATAGTAGAATGACTTGAATTTATAGTATATAGTAGCTAGTCTTGAAAAGGGCAAGATGGATCAGCCCTTCATAAACCCTAAACCCTTTCAACCCTAAACCCTACGCCCTAAACCCTAAACCCTATAAGCCCTAAACCCTAAATCCTAAACCCCGAATCCCAAGGCTGGGTCATGGAGTTCCCAGACCAGGGGGCCGAGGCCTTGGCCGGGAAGATGGCAAAGAGTCTCTACCGCAGGCGGGGCCTTGGGGTCTAGGGCCTGTATGGGCCTTCAGGGTCTTTAGGGCCTTTTAGAGTTTATAGGGTTACGGCCTTTAGGGTCTTTAGGGTTCCAGGGTTAAGGGGTTTATAGGGTTTAGGGTTTAGGGTTAGGGCTCTGTGTGGAATGCGAGAGGCTGACAGGATTTCAATATATGTCGGGCTTAGACGCAAGTGCCTAGATTAGCAGGGCTTTAGGTGCTGTGAACTTGGAACTTGAGCAGGACAGGCAGCCAGCGAAACAACTCTACGAAATTTCATGCTAGGATGAAAATTATCTGCTGACCTTCCTGTTCTTTTTGGCTGTCGTCGCTCTGCCATGCTCCCATTACAGGTGTTGCAGATGCCGTACTGTAGCCATGTAGAGACAGACTGCACGGCCTTTGGGACCACCGATGCTCATTCACAGAATCCTTCTAGTAAGATTTGCATGAAGTGGTCGCTGGGGCGTTCTTATATCTTACTGGAGATGAGGATTCTGGCTTTCGTTTTGGCTTGTCCTTAACCCTAGTCCTTGAGGCAGGGCTTGGGTTGATGGGGTTAGGTTTCGGAGGCTGTGGGGGTTTTCGGCCTCGATCTTGAAGTCCTTCATGCGGCCGGTTTAGGGGTTTAGGGTTTAGGGACCCTGAACCCTAAACCCTAAACCATAAAGGCGGATCACCCTCATCGACAGCTACTTGGACAGCTACTTTCCGGAGTTTGCAGCTTATCGAGATGTGGCGCGGCCTGCAAGTGCTGCAGAGTCAAGAGATGGTGATGTGGATAAAGTACGAAGGTATAATGGGGATGGGGTGACGACAAAAGGTGGATAAGAGGAAGGACATGCTGTTGCCATGTTGATGCGGTGGTGATGTTGCTGATGCCAATGAGGGTGCTGATGCTGCTGTTGCTGGTGCGCGGGCGTGGTCTTGCTGGTGGTGCTGGAATTGCTGTGTCTTTTCGTCGCTGGTGGAAACCATGATGAAATTTGATTTACTTGTACTGAAAGCATTGCTGTTTTCCTCGCTCGAGGTGTCAGTCTCACTTGCAGCAAGGTCTTGTGACTTCGAATATACCTCTTACACACTGCGTGTAGCATTCTCAAGCGCGAGCTGCAAAGATTCCGGCGGCAACTCACAGGCTTGAAGTGACGTCAAGATAGAGCAGACGAAACCCCAATCTCTATGCCCGAGGTCTGCATGTGGTGGAAGTACTATCTCTGCACGGATCCGGTGGTCTTCCGCTTCCAGCCGCTGGAATTCTCGGATGGTCACCTGCAGTGGGTCATCGACGTGCACCCGCGATGGCAGCCACCTAGCCGCAGCAAGTGCCTTGCGAATCGCTGTGGAGCCTCAGTACACCATGACTGCGACTAGTGTCAGTTTAACCTGTTTTCAGTTTGGTCACGCTACTGGTGTTTACATTCAGCGACAATCGGAGAAAGTGTACGTATTCTTGTAAGAGTTGCTGCCATCGCCTGTACCATCATGCTTGTGAAAGCTATTTTTGGCAGCTGCTGTTTAGCGTCTGGCGTTTTCATACTGGTTGTTACCAGTCAAGAAACAATCTCAATCAGCACTGCCACTCCCGCTTTTCAGTGGCTTGTGGTCATGGTCTTCGTTGTAAGTAGTATCGGTATCCATTTGCAGCCGGCCATTTTGCCATAATCGTCAGGGTCTTTAACACGCCCGAGCCCCAGACACGCCGTAATCCCTGCACGGCTGATGGCACGCTTAACCCTAAACCCCCAAACCCCTAAACCCTAAACCCTAAACCCCTAAACCCCTAAAGCCCTAAACCCTAAACCCACTGAGGAAGCGCTGCTACATCGTGAAGTCCTTTGGCCAGGGGAACCAGGCAAAGATGCTCTTCCAGAAGCTGGAAAAGCCCGCAGGGGGACCCAGACTGGTAGAGGTCTCTAAGGACGGTCTGTGTTTTTTTTTTTTGTGAGGGTTGCAGACTGTTTTTGGATTTGGTAGACTAGTGTCGATCGGTGTTCGTGTTCGGGGTAGGCCAAGTTCAACAGGCTCGTCCACGCTTCAGGATTTCGCAGCTTACAACTTGGTCTAGGGTGCGGGGTGTGTGTGCCTTTACTTTAGTCTTCTGTTTCGTGCAAATGGGAGTCCAAGTTGACGAAGTCTCCGGTGCCGGGGAGGCCACGTTGAGCAGCGTCATCACTACATAGACCGGGAGTCGGCGAACCCGGGCCTGAATCAAGGAATCCTCTAAAACCTAGAGCTGGAACCTGCATCTCGAGCCACTCCTGCTCCAAATCGCAGAAGGCCATGAACGAGCATCGCTACCAGAGCGAAGCGCTTCCCAGCAATTTGGCGGGTCAAAGCATCTGGTCCGAGGACTGCGAGGGTTTAACGGTTTGGAGCCTTATTGATCACGCCCGTGACCTGGTGTGGCCATTACGATGGCCGAGAATGTCGCATGCGTCGTTGAGTGGACTGTGGGCTTAGAGCTTCCCGCACATACCTCGCCCTTATAGAACTTAGGCAACATACATGAGAACCCTTGCGAGGACGACGTGCTCCACGTTCCGACGATGCCATCCTTTGGTGATCGTCCAGTCCTTGGTGCCAGAAGCAACATCGAGTTGTTTCCTTTGTGACCCCAAGGTATAGTGTGCAACAAGCAAGGAAGAATTTGTACAAGACGTAGTAGCATGTGCACCACACTCTTATACGATGCCCTGAACGCCGGGATGCATAACTCGCTTTGCAGCATGTCTGCAAGTCGTTGACGCTCTGGAATGCCTACAGGCCACAGATCTCAGCACCTTCTGTGCCAGCATTGCTTCACCAGGCCGATTTCGCATTTGCTCCAAACCCACATGAATTAAATTAGGACGGGCTTAATCACTGGCTTCCTGCACCCCTTTCAGCTGACCTTCAACATATTCCATGCCCCCTCTCTTACGCCCCCACCCCCTCATCCGTTCACACACCTCTAAATTTCCTAAACGCGGAGGAATACCACGACCAAAACAGAGTGCACCCCGATTCCCAAATACGGAGGTGCACCCAACCCATGCCCGCATAACTTAGACTCAAGTCAAGTCCATGATGGCCTTGAGCTGCAAGCCTTTTCAACGCACAGCCGTCCAAACTTTCGTAGCGCATGATCCACGCCTAGGTCTGGGCCAGGCAGACAGTGAGCTTCTGCTGTCTTACCTGACGGTGCCGAGCCCGAGACTTTTTGTTGATCTGTGTTGGCGGGCCTTGGCGGCGAGACTTTTTTTGAGCATACATGTGGAGTTTCGTTTTGGCTTATGAATGTTGTCATGCCGAAAGGCCACGATAAGGCGGTAGATAGGAGCTCGGGGTGCTGTTGACATTTGCCATTAGTGACCCAAAGCTACGTGACTGCGGCATACTGTGCGACACCTCTTGCGGTGTAGGGTTTAGGGTCTAGAGTATAATAGACTGTATAAGGTTGATTAGCCGGTGCTAGTACGGGGAAGCTCAGACTCGTAACACAGTACAGAGACGAGTTCATGGCTCTCCACCACTCGCACCAGAACAAAGCACACACGATAGACAAGCTCCCGTAGGTCGACTTGAAAGCCTAAGCCCACATCTCTGGAGGGTCCAGAGGCTTCGGGCTCGGTGTTCTCGAGTGGAAGTCTAGGACTCACAAGACGCCAAGCCACGGTCAACGCCTGCCAGCGCAACACCCAACTCTTCGTATTGCATCAGGTGCCATATCTCCGGATGCCTCTTTGCCTCAACTACTTCTCCACGGAGGAGAGAAGCTGATCTTGAGACCCGAATCCAACATGGCATGCGTTCATGGAGCCAGAGAGCCCCGGTGCTTGCAGAAGATCCGCGAATACCCAGTGCCGCCACGCGAGGACCGAGTTCATGCCCTTTCGCAGCAAAGGCTACGAGATCTGCTCCAGGCCACGAAAGCCGAAACCAAGCCACACCAGTTGGGGCGGGTGGTTTCGATTCAGGATGCCGGCCCAGAAGTGTGTGCAGGTGCTCAGGAACAATTAGCCTCAAGGGATGTGCTTTGTCAGCCGTCGAGGGCTTGAGGACTAGGCTTAGGGCTCAGGGTTGCAGAATCAGGTGTTGAAATTTGAGTGTTCTGGCTTGCAGGATCCGGATCGCATGGCGGATGCGAAGGGTCTGCAGGGAACCTACTTGTACACGTTCTCCTGACACGATGAGCCCTAAACAATAACCCAGCGCTCATTTCCTTTAGGTTGGAGAGCTTTCAACCCTTACTCTTTCATTGCTCCTGAGCGGAAGCACAGGAGACAAGATTTGATTTTTAGGGTCCAGGTGTTGGGGTCAGGGACATGGTGACATAGGGCCTACGGCTTCACCAATAAACTTTAAAGCAAGTTTCAACCTAGATCCTAAACCCACAAAAAAAAGACCTAAACCCTAAACCCATTGAAAAAGGACCTAGATTCCCTGGTTTCCTTGAGCCCTGCAGCAAAGCCAGGCTGTCGTTTTCGAGCCCGGCCGGTTCCTCCCTAGGCGACTGAGCAACCAGGTCCCCCACAGTTGTCCGGTCCTTGCTTGGCGTTTAGGGCTTTGGACGTGAGATTAAGGGGTTCTGGGATTTAGATGGATGTGGTAAGTTGCAAAAGCTAAACTCTCAGGAAGTTTCGTTTCAGGGTTTGAGTTTCGGAGGTATGTGTCTAATGTCAATGCGTGTACACGTCTTTCTGCATGTATGTATGTATGGATGGATGGATGGATCTTATATACATATACACACACATGTGTGTGTGTGCATGCTTGCATATTGCAAATCACTGGTTCGTGTCTGGCTCTCTCCCCTGAATGGAGGCACATTTGAAGCTCCACGTGCGACTGCCAAAATGTGCTACCCAATCCATTGCGAAGCACTACACTCCAAACCCTTCAACCTGAGCCCTAAACACACACTTAGGAAAGCGCTCCCACCTCAAACCCCAAGCCCTGCAGGAAACTGGAATGCGCACCCGGATTTCCCAAGGCCCTTAAAGCCTGCCCTAAACATCTTCAACTTCTGCCGGCAGACACGACTTCAGCCCCCCTAGGCCCAAAACCTTGAACCCGAAGCCCTAAACCCAAGACTCGCAAGCCTCTGAGACCCAGCACGATCCGCCAGATCCCAGAGATGGTTCCCGCCGAAGATCCCGAGCTCTTGGGAACCGGCTCCTTGGCTACAGGGTGGCTGAGGGGTTTCGGGCTCAGGATACAGCGGTCTAAGTTCACCTGTCCTGTGCTGGTTCTGCATAGGGCTTGCAGGGTTAGCAGTAGAGCCGAGGGTTTGAAACAACTTCGGGATCCCTTTCGGGCCGGCTTCTTGTAGTAGAACCTGTCATAAGGCGCCAGACGGTGCCAAACCTGGGGCGGTTGCTAGCACTCTCCCCTTACAGCAAGCCACCGGCTCAAACAGGGTCCAATGGTCCGGAGACCAAAGAGGGGGGCGATGTGTAGAGTGGGCTTAAGGTAGAGCACTACTCCGAGACCCCTAACTCGAGGATCGATCGGGGGGCGTATGCTGGCGACCTAAGGAAGGCTAACAGCCGTAGAGTGTCAGGTTCACTCAGAGTCAGCCAAGGCTCCAGATTCGTAGCTCTCATTGCCTGAGTTCATGACTAGCGGACTAGGGGTTGCACGTGTTCATGAACGTCCCCGGTTGCCCCAAACCCCGTCTGACTTGCAAGTGCTCCCGCCTTCTGCTACCCCTGTAAGCTGGTTCCAGCATTCGTCTCCACTTCCCTGCGTTCTATTTCTAGGCACATGTCCAGTTTTGTACAAAAGAAGTGGGCCTTTGCCCATCAATCCTGAAGCTATCAAGTTTTGGCAGCCCAACATGTCGTCACTCCGAACGGAAGGTTTTGGATTGCTGACGAACGAGCCGCGCCCTCAATCATGTCAAGGGCTCGTAGTCGTAGTCGTCCGGGCTTGCATCAGAACAGCAGATGTTTCCTAGGTTGGCACGGTCGCCGGAAGCTACCGTGGATGCAGTCATCGAGCTCTTGGATCAGGCAGGCATGCTTTCGTGAGGAGATGGGCCTGTAGTCACGACTCAACCGGCCCTCATCACATTCCGTTATGCTACTGCTATAGGAGACTATAGGACGCAACTGTTCAACTCGGCCCAGGCGTTAAAGCTGGACACCCAGGCGGGGTGGGGCGACTTGCATCTGCCTGTGCCACCGATTACCACACCACCAGCATGGTTTCCCCCTGCCACAGGACAATTAAAGTAGGGTGTGGTGGCATACTATAATAGTGCCCTAAGCCCTAAACCCTAAGCCCTAAACCCTGAACCCTAAGCCCTTACAACGGCCCTTACAAGAAGGAGCCCTTTGTTCAGCATGGAGGGCCTCCAGAGCGTAGGACCCTCACGCGAGCACCACGGAGCTGATCCTGTCCGTCCTGCGCCTCTGCTGCAGGGCCGGGAGCCTCAGATCCCAAAGCCACTTTTGATGAGGCATGCATATGCGTAATATATAGATGTAGTATGTGTTTATGTGTATGTATGTGTATATATATATATGTATACACACAACACACATGCACACACACACACATATATATATATATATGTATGTATGCTTCTGTAGTCAATTTGTTTGTTGAACGGCTGCGAATCCCTAGTCTACAGTCTTAGATCATACTCTTGCTGTTTGGGACGCCCGTGGCTTGATTTGAGAGCAGCGAAGTTGGTGAGTGGGCGTAGCTGCCCATGACTGGGCTTCAGGTGCTTTGGTTCCGGGACTTTTTGTCTTTTCGGCTTGGTGCGTTTCGGGATTTAGGTTTGTGGGAGTTTTCGGTCTAGGTTAAGGGTTCAAAGGTTTGTGCAACTCGCTCTGTGGTCTTAGGGTACTGCTGAGGTGACTCACTGGGGTTTACAGGCTACATTCAGGTGTCTACTCCCCTGAATGGTGTCAGGTTCAGAACACCTTGGCATTCCTTCTGTCCGTCAGCCGAGCGGAGTGCCTTGACCGCAGAACTTGGAGAAGTTCAGAACGTGCAGTTTGGTAAAGGAAAGTATCGATGGCACCGCCCGGGCAGGGAGCCATGTGAGGCAGCAAACCGGTTGATCTTAGCCAGGCCTACCCCTGTTGCGCAGCTCAAGACCACTTGGAGGTGTCAACTTTTAGCTTGAGCCACGGTTCTGTGGGGTTGGCAGACAACGGTTGGCATCGCTGTTGATGCGTGAGGGCTTCTCTCTCACCGTTCCGATTAAGTTCCCCGGCTTCCTGAAAACGCACTGTACTTGTACCAATAGGTAGCATGGCCGGGCATCCTACCCTAAAGTGGCATCATCCACTGTAATCAGGGCATCAGCTGCGCCATAGTTAGTGCATTGGAGGTCCCCTAAACTCTAAACCCTAAACCCTAAACCCCTAAACCCCTAAACCCTAAACCCTAAACCCTAAACCCTACTGTTTCTGGTGCCAGCGCAGGCATCCGAGCTGCAACGCTGAGGGGCTCAGCGAAGGCCGGAGACACCTTGGTTCCCGTGACCTCGGTGCGCTCGACCAAAGCCCCGCAAGATCCGGCCCACGACAGGCAAAATCCAAAATCGCAAAAACCAAAATCGAGGCGATGGTCGCCGTCATAAGCTCAACGATGCATCCTTATTCCCCAACCTCCTCACAGCTATAGCTGCAGCCCATGCCCCAGAGAGCCCTAATTCTGCTCAGCTACATGTGGAGGCCGTCGCTCTACACACGCAAAGGTCATAAGTGCCCCATCCCAGCTCCATGGATCCCAGCAGGGCGGTGCTGTTTTTGCTCTGTGCTTGCGAGGAGGGCGGCCTGTGTTCTCGGAACGGACCCTGCGACAGCTGCAGGCAACGCTCTGGGAGTGCAGTTTTGCAGGGGTTTTTGTCTTGTCAGGTCTTTAGGGTACGTGATGCAAACGGAGCTGAAGTGTTGATGCATGGGCTGGATGCATGGGTCACCTGAATTTAGAACAACACAGTCGGCTGGGTTCCTGCACGTGTTCTGGCACCCTGGAGGACGCCTGGCCGAGGCTGCGCAGCTCCCTGCAATCTGTGGCCGGGAGTCCCGAGGAGGGTTGCTCAAGGAGGGGGTGTAGTACCTTGTGATTCGACAGTCCGGTGAGGCCAGGAAGGTGCTACAAAATAGTTGTTCGGGGTACCTTGAGTAATTACATTCTTCGTGGGAGTAGCACGCGAGAATGAGTTTCCAGCGAGTCAGATCCCCGCATTTCCTCGTCGTTCGCATCCTCGTTGCTACAGAAGCCGGTTCGCAGGATGGTAGTCAAGATGTTGTGATGAAAATCGCTACCACTAGAAGGTCCGAGCGGAGCCCTGCATCTGGGTAGTCCTTCCGCCCCAGGCACATGCAAGATTCAAACTGCTGGTAAGGTCCTTCGACAGTCAACTAGCTTAATCCGACTTTGTCTCATCAAACAGCAGCCGAAAGGCCTATCAAACCGCCTCTCCTCGAGGTTAACGACCGCAGCGCCCTGACCATCCTTGGCCGATGGCTTGACTCAGTGAGGTCGGGATCCCAGTGCCAAAAGATCAACAGGTTGCAAGGAAGGTCCCAACATACTCTTGACTCAGGCCGTTGATGATACTCATGTTCTGCATCAAGCCATATCAAGCCACAAGTATCGATCGACGGCGTGCGGATTGCCCTGCATCTCCTCAGGCTTGCAAAAATCCAATGTAAGTGAACGCAAGGACCTCGACGAGACCCCATAATGCACTACAAGTGATGAGTGGCACTGTCTCAGCTGTCGGTTCGGTAGATCTGCCCGGGGAGGACAGACTTTGGTCAACAGTTCGCGGAGGTGCGGAGGGTCACCGGCCAGAGAGTGATTGTTGCATTCCCTAGTCAGATAGTTGTCTATTGTGTATTCCTGTTCCTGCTGTTCTTATTTTCCTAATAACTCTTGTTGTCATCAATCCTACCTCCTCGATCACACTGTGTTGTATTATTACTGAAGTTTGCCTTTGTGTAGACCTCGGGCTGAGACGAAGCAGTGCCGCTCTTCTTGTTCGGCCATTCGAGCATTGAGTTGTGAGTCAATTTTGTGAGCGCGATGTTGTTGCCTCCTGCTTGCATTGCAGATGACGTGCTGTTGATGATGATGCCGACGATGATAATGATGGTGGTCATGATGACCCTGGTAGCGACGATAACGACATTGCACATTGCACACAGGGACGAGTTGGCCATGCTGATGATGAAGGTTTCGGGAAACGCCCTCTTGATCTGTTCCTCCGACAATCATCGTGAGCCCTAAACCCTAAACCCCTTAAAGGAAGCCTTAATCTAACCCTAAGTTAAACCCCTTAAAGGAAGCCTTAATCTAACCCTAAGTTAAACCCTAAACCCCTTAAAGGAACCCTAAACCCTATACCCTAAGTTAAACCCTAAACCCCTTAAAGGAACCCTCAAACCTAACCCTAAGTTCTTCGGGGCCTTTGGGCCGTGGTCCGTTGTTTGGGCCTCCGGCCAGGAGGAGGAGGAGAAGAAGAAGAGCAAAGGTACCGAGGAGGCGCTTCCAGTTCTGTTCTGACTGTTGCTGGCCCTTTGACGGGGTTTAGGGTTTAGGGGTGTAGGGCTTTATGGGTTTAGGGGTTTAGGGCTTAGGGAAGTTTAGGGTTTAGGAAGTTTAGGGTTTATTTGGGGCAGGAATCTTCGTGTCATTTCGTGTCTCCGCGTCGGAGCTCTGTCATGGAGTCAGGGTGATTGCTGGTTGGCATCGCCGTGTGTTGGAAACCCAGAATAGGACATGCAAGAAGCTCGCAAGCAAGGCCCTGTTCCTGTTAGGACTGCTTGCGCCAACCGGCTGACCGACCGCTTGATGCTATACTTAATATATACTTAATATACTTATTAATATATACTTAATATATAATCAATATATAATTAATTTAACCAATATATAGTTAGTATATAATTCATATATAATTAATTTAACTAATATATAGTTAATATATAATTAATATATAATTACTTATTATACCCACTCGGCCCCCCGTCGGCTCTAAGGCTCCTTCAACCAGCCCAAGTCACGTCTTCGCCCGAGAATTGCATAAGAAAGCCCTAGATTGCACTGGTCTTGCATGTAATACAGGGGCCTTAAGAATTAGAATAGGGTTTGGGGCCCATTATGGTATACTTATAATAAGGAGCCCCCAAAACCCTATTCTAATTATTAAGGCTCAGAGATTAGCCTCTGCCCTTGCACGATTCTCATGCGGCTTGCACGAAAACAGCTCCTTTACACACCTATCAGGAGCAGACGCCAGACATCCTCGTGTCCGGTGCCGGCGAGGATGCTGGCAACAGTTGTAGCTTTGTGACCTCCTATGGGAGCATGCCTCATACCGGCTGAGCTCTATGCTCGGAGCCGTCTCTCTGTCTACACTCATGTTTTTATAGTAGGGTCAGGCAACAAGCGCATCTACGACATGTTTGCGTGTCTTCTGCAAGTTGGGAAAGACATATTCCTGCAAGTTGTGCCTACATCAGTTCAGCGTTCTCTTTGCTCATCTCGTGGTGATTGCCCTCGTGTACGTCAGCCGAAAAGTCTCAAAGGTCGGAGCACTTCCTACTTTCTGCCTAAGGCGGAGCCTCTAGATTCTAGACTCTTGATCCCAAATGCTTCGCAGGAGCGTGTAAACGGTGAGTACTGCCTCGCGTTCCGGGGAAACGAGTGCTGCTTCTATCAGAAAATTGGCGACGAGTCTTGGCGCCAACCACGTGCACGCACATCTTTGCTTTGAGATGCAGCTTGCGGCTGTGCTTCCGCCGCTGCAGCATATGGTCATTGTAAATAAAAGTGTTTGTATGTGTGAAAACATGCAGGTATTTTCATATGAGTATGCATATGCATATGAACTTGCAAATGATTATGCATATGTATGTCTTTGTCAGTGTCTGTGTCTATGTACACGTATATGTACCTGTATTGCCTGTGCAGACCTGCGTTTTTGCGTATACACATAAGTGCACGCATGCCATGCACTCGTGACCGATGCATCCACGTTTCCAGCAAAGAAGGAGCGACTTAGGGGGACATGTATGTATGTGCAGAGCTCTGTGCTTGCGTACATGCACTACCATACGTGCATACAGTTGCATGTGCAAGTACGAGCACGTGGTTTGTATGTCTGTGCGGGTTCCTGCGCCGCTGAAGTGTTTAGAAGTTGCAGAGAAGCCCGACTGTGCTGAGGATGGGGTCTTTATCGACTGCTTTATGTCCTCCTGGGTGATCTACATGCGCTATTCAGGCTGCACCACTGGCTGGAAGAAGCTTGTTTGGGAGCAAAGTTATCCAAAGAGCTTGTTTCGGTCGGCCTGCTTGCATCTTGATGATGCAAGCAGTGCCAGAAGCAGATGGAGCAGTGTATCGGGTCTTGCAGGGTTCAGAGTTCAGTTCGAGCACATGTCGCGTCACACAAGCCCCATGCATCCCCATGCGCTCCGCAGCCCGTAACGCAGCGATGTTCTGTTGGACAGGTTGCGTCTACGAGGCGTCGGGCCACCACAGCAGCCTTCCGAAAATATGGAAGGCCAGGCAACAACCACAAGCAGAATCACTAGCAGTATAGTTGCAGTAACCGTAGTAGGAGTGCAACTTCTAGTTGTCATCCTCGTCTTCGGGGTCGTCGTCGTTGTCCACCTACCCACAGCTGCTGTTCCACCACTTATACTTTATCAGTACTCTGTTCCTGCTGCTGCTACTACTACTACTACTGCTGCTACTCCTACTCCTGCTCCTACTCCTACTCGTCCAACTCCAACTCCTACTCCTACTCCTACTGTACCTACTCCTACTACCTACTCCTACTCCCTACTCCTACTCCTGCTCCTACTCCTCCTACTACTACTGCTACTACTTCTGCTTCTACTACTACTACTACTACTACTGCTGCGACTACTACTACCACCTCTACCATCAATAGTTCCTGGACTGCTCCTCTTGAGCATCGTCCTCCTTTGCTGCTATACCAATGCTACCATGCCTCGCTGCGACCCCGATACAGCTACAGCCGCAGCGGCTGCTGATGGGCTGCTTCTAGTACCACAATACCCTTCAATTGCAACCACAATGACAATGATCAGCACCACTGGCCGGACTGATACTGATGGTGTTGAGGAGGTGCAGGCGGAGGACGAGGAGGAGGGGTTGAGGAAGACGATGGCGATGACGATCACCATGAAATTGTTGCTGCGTAGGCTTGGCGTAGGCATGATGATCAAGATGCTAGCATGGACCTTGTAGCGCAGTCAGTTATCACAGGTTACTTTGCGTAGCTAGCATTGACTGTTCCTACAGTCGCAGCTAAGGAAGATGGCGATAGCAATGCTTATTTGTAATCATCGTCTGACAAACAGGCTGTCAGAAATTGCGCGATGCAAGATCAATCCCTGAAATGTCTGAGTATTGATTGCTGGCAGTAATAAATGTTATGCAAATACGGAGCGAAAGAGGTCCCGTAAGAGGGAACGTTACACTTGTTGTAGCAGAAAGGTCAACCCTGAGAAAAATGGACCCAACACCCTCGCCTATGTTTATATATATATATATGTATACATATATATATACATATGTATTTGGATGTGTATGTATTTGTTTTTGTATGTGTATGTGTGTATATATATATGTATGTATGTACGTATGTATGTATGTATGTATGTATGTACATATATATATATACATATATATATGATATGATATGATATGATATGATATGATATGACATGATATGATATGATATGATATGATATGATATGTAAATTTACTGTTTACTCAGGGTGCAACTGCGGGGAGTGGGGTCATGCTGTGGCAAGTGCACCAAGAACCTCCAGCCTCTGGCCCCTGTCCCTGGGAATGACGTGACTCTATGGTTCAGTATCCTTTGGCTGTTGCTTTGATCTAAAATTATGCGATCCGCCGTTTACGGTCATAGGAGTTCATGGTTTGGCACCCTGGCTTTTCTTTTTGAGGCCATCCGGGGCAAGGCACCCTTGCCCAAGGTGGAGTCTGTGGTGGACAGAGAGCCCGGTGCTCAGAGCAACTTCACAGTTCGAGAACCGTCAAAGCAACACGGTTGAGGGAACGCGTGTCTGATAGAGCAATGCCATGCTGCAACAAACTCTCGACACAATCCTTGGGCTCTCGCAGACGCACCGGCAGCAGGTTGAACATACACCCCTTGCATTGTGGGAAACTGTCGGGCTTCTTCATCTGGGGTTTGTGGATCTTGGGACTGGCATGGAATTAAGCGTGAGGACTCAGGGCCCTCTTACATTCGGGTTGCTGCTTGGTTTCAGTTTCAAAAAGAGAAGGTGTATGGTGTGGCGCTTTCGTGGTCTTTCCGTGGTCTGGCTGTAACCCCCTTAGCTTAGTCTTAGCCACCTCCTTAGATTAGTCTTAGTCCTAGATCCCCAGCAATGTTTGAACGTCCACATCATCATCATCATCATCATCATCTCTCGTCATCATGATCATCATCCCCGCCCTCACCACGATTACCACCAACATCACCATCACCATCACCGTCGTCATCATCGTCATCATCATCGTCTTCTTCTTCGTCATCATCATCATCATCGTCATCACCATCATCACCATCACCACCATTATCACCATCATCATAGTCATCATCGCCACCATCATCACCATCGCCATCATCATCATCACCACCATCATCATCATCACCATCATCATCATCTTCTTCTTCATCATCATCATCACCAGCACCGCCACCACCATCATCACCACACATGACTACGTACATATTCACCGGGGTCACCAACCTGAACACTACCGTGATCCCTGGCCCCTTCCCCCGAGACCGCAAAATCCAGCCTCCAGCAACACCCCCTTTTCCCCCGCCCCCGAGCCCAAAGCCTCCCGTGAACCCAGTGAAAGTGTGATCACCAAGTCTGTGCGAATGGCTGGCTATTCTGAGTTTGAGTAGTTATGATGATTATTCTCATGACTGAGTGGATTTCCTACAGGACCCATTTGGCCTGCCAACTTCATGGCCACCGGGTGCTTCTCCTCCGCAACCTCCGGGCGGAGGAAGGGCACAGCGGTCAGGTAATGAGGGCTTTCCGGGTTTAATACGGTTTATGATATAAATCCTGCACTACCCATAATAAGGAATATACCATAATTCCCATAGTTTAAGGTCCTTAAGATATTGCGGGATTTATATCATCAACAGTAGCACTGTCAGGGGTCAGGGAACTGGGGCTTGAGGGGCTTTACAGGGTTATCAGGTTTGCAAGGTTCAGGCTCTAAGGTTCACTAAGGTTTGCTGTTACCATCATGTTGCCGTACTGTTGTCATTGTCGTTGCAATAAGCTACTGTACACTCTTATGGTCCTTGTAGATTTACATACTTGCGAGTGCCTAGCATGATTGCTTTCTGCTTCTCGCATCCTTGGTGTGAGTCTGATTCGTGTTTTTTTTTTGACTTCACGGGTACATGGTTTGGTTTAACGTTCAGGAGTCCAAAGCTCTCCCTCTCTCCCTCTCTGTCTCTCAGTCTCTCCATCTCTATCCCTCTCTCTCTCTCTCTGCCTAAAACCTATGTGCGTGCATGTGCCACAGCAGAATGGGACAAGAACGACCTAAAGAACCTAGAAAACAACATATTGGCTAACGAACCATCCTTAGCATCGGCAGCAAGAGACTTCAACCACGGTACTTTCCCCTACAGTTCTCATCATGCTCGCCCTAAACCCAAAACCCTAAACCCTAAACCCCAAACCCTAAACCCTAACCCAAAACCCTAAAACCCTAAACCCTTCACATCCCTCGTCTTGTTCGCCCTTTAGGAGCTGACGATGGACCTCGTGGAGAGGCTACTCTGCTCCTTTGTCTTCCTCACATCGCGCCACACGTGGAACGAGGATCCACATGTTGGGCTTTAGGCTTGGTTTAGGGTTTAGGGTTTAGGGTTTAGGGTTTGCAGCAGGCCCGACAGCTAGTGAAGCTAGTGTATCAGCATTCGGATGCATTGCTAGTAATTTGCGAGTACCTCGAGGGGTTTAGGCCATTGGAGCGCAATGCATAGAGATCATCCCCCTTCTATGAGGACAAGGCAAGTGTTAGTGGTAGAAAGGTTCATGGACGCCCAGAGAAGAAGTCATCCTGGTGGGTAGATCTTCTTGCTACCTGAATACATAATATTATACTACACATTATCTTATAATACATTGTGTTACACTATATTGTAGTATGCCAGACTATATGTTTATCATGACATATATGATTATATTTTATATTGCATTACCTTATATTCTGTTATATTACACGACACCATAGTATGTTGCACGGCACAGTGGTGCTCGACGCAACCTGACCTACGGTTGCCAAAGTCTGATGGGACGGTGGGCGAAGCCCGATGATGCCCGGGATCCTCCATCACACCTCACCGCCCCAAACTGCTCTCAAGCCTATAATCCATAACACCTGTGTACCCCTCAGCCCAGCAGAGGCCCCACGCGCGAATCCTCATCCAGGACTTAACCCAAAAGCCTGATGCTACTTACCATTGTCTGCCAGGACACTCTTGGAATGCCGGAACCGGAGTTGTTCGAGGCTCGAATCTGTTTCGTCCAGTCCCGCTGCTTGCTGGATCCTAGGTTTTTTTTCTCAGGGGTTTCCTTTTGGCAGAGCCAGGTTTTTTTCGACTCCTTCGGTAGGTATCTGTTGGATCTGTCGTATGGGAGTTCTCTACGGCATATGTATATCTACGGGAGTTCACTATGTGCGATGATTGGAAGAACCTACGAAATTAAGGACGAGGGAGAAGAACGGGCATTCGGCCTGACAGGATTTTGAGTGGAGAAGTTCTGTCTAACTAGTGGCTCCGCAGAACCTCAAAGTTTGATGCCCTTCAAAGAAATCCTCACTCCCGTACCCCTGCTAGCAAACCCGAATTCATGAACTTGCAGATCGCTGGGCTGTTGAGTCGGGTGCGACGTTTGTGTTAAACACGGGTGTCTTCGCACCCATACTGTGTACAGTTCAAACTACCAGCTATTTGTGCATATCCTCTCCGATATCATAAATGCTTAAGCCCTCAGCAGCCTCGAGATGGGCAGGTGATCTTCGCCAAGCGCTTGGAGCTCATCGGGTGGTTGGAAGAGGTGGGAACGACCTGCGCAAGTATTAGGCAAGTGGACGGAACCGTATAAGGATACTGGCACTGTCCGCAATCGCTTTGTGGGTTTCTGCTAGTAGCGCAAAGGGCAGCCCAAGTCGGAGTAGCAACGAGTGAGGCAGTGAGGCAGCAGTAGGAAAGAGCGGAGCTTGGGTTCTCTTAGCGATGCTCGCAATCAGGAATACACGTGAGCTCACGTGGAAGGGCTGATACATGAGCAGCTCTGTCCAAGCGGCTCACTCTTTGCTGAGCAGTACGAGAAAGGCACCCTACGCAGATGCTTGCCGGGTCCTGGACGCGGTCTTGATGCTTGGCTGCTCTGGTTTTTTTTTGAGCAGATGACAATCGCCAGAGTCATAATGGCCACAGCTACCCTAAACCCTAAACCCTAAACCCTAAACCCTAAACCCTAAATCCTAAACCCTAAACCCTAAACCCTAAATCCTAAACCCTAATGAGCAAGTTGAACTAGGAAGCTTGGCAATGGTAATCCTTGGGCCACCGAGCTTCTGGCAAGGTCGGGTTTCTCGGGTTTCGGAACACAAAAACCCTAAACTACCCATAGGCCTCTAAGGAGTTCCTTTTTGGGATTACCCTATAGGATTCTAAATATAAACCATAAAAAAGGAACTACTTAGGGGCCTATTGGTAGGTTCCCCAGTAGTACCCCTTTTTTGGCCTTTTTTCTTTTTGGGCTCCTGATTAGATAAGTAGTAGGAAAAAGGGTATACCCTTATGTTTGAGGGGCTACTGGGCAACATAGTAAGCCTTAAGTTAAATCCTAAACCCGGCTAACCTACGTGCGAGTTGGAAAAGGGTCCGAAGCAGATAAAGGGAAAACACATTAAATCGAACCCCTAGAAGAAACCTAAACTCTAAGTTAAACCCTACACCCCAAATTAGAGCAAGCAGTTTTCAGCAGCTTGCTCCCGAGGAAGACCGCCACCGGTATCGAGAAGGGACCTCCCGGATGGGCTATTTGGCCAGAGGCCACAGGGCTTAGGGGATTTTTGGGTTTAGGAAGTTTAGGGGGTTCCTCTAAAGGCCTTCGTGGCTTAGGGGTTTAGGGTTTAGGGGTTTAGGGTTTGGGCTTCGGGGTTGCAGGGTCAGGGTAGTCCCGGACCTTTGGGTTCGGATTGAGGGTTTCGTGGAGCAAGAGGAGCGCTTTCCCTGCTATTCGGGTTTAGGGGTTTTTTGGGGGTCAAGGATTTAAGGGCTTGCGGGGTAGAGTGTTTAGGGTTTAGGGGGTTTAGGGGGTTAAGAATTTAGGGGTTTACGGAGTAGAGGGTTGAGGGTTTATGGTTTAGGGGGTTTAGGGGGTTTCGGGGTTTAGGGTCCAGGGTCCGGGGTGCAGCAGCCCGCAGAGATGCTAATGACTCGGTGTTTTCGGTGTGCTGGCCGCGGGGAAGACCCTGAAAGGCCCTGAAACTTGTTTTTTTCGTGTTTCGCGCTACAACTAGCCGAAGAGCCTATGCTGAGTGTGGGCCTGCTGTGACAACGTCACAGAGATGGTTTATGAGATTTGCTGTTGCTCTTCTATTTGTCGGATCTCCCACTCTGCACGTCAGGCGGCGAACAGGGGGAGGTACATGGCCTTGGGCCATCCGCAGGCAAGGACCGGCTAAAGTCTCGGGGCCGTTTGGTCAGGTGGCCAGTCCAACACAGTTGACTGCACGGCTAGTCTCCGTTTTGGTCATGGCGTGCTTTGGCACTACAGTGTCACAAAGCTCTCCAGTTCCCCTACTATCATGGCAGAGATCTTGAGACATCAGACCTGGGATATGCATATTTCCAGACCACATACAAGCAGAAGCCGAGCACCGGAACTAGTGCTTGGCACTGAGCCAACTTGCTATCCTTCATACTTCATGATTCGGAATGCTTTATGTGCGCGAAAAGTACTGCTTTCTTCTGTTTGCTGTGGTGACTCTTGTGTCGATGTGATTTAGAGTCGTGCTGCTGATAATACTCAGCAAGGGATGAGAAGCATTATCATGATGCTGATGCTCATGCTGGCTGTTGCTGAAGTTGATGCTGATGACAACAACATCAGCAGCAACAGGGCTCAAACCAGAAGCAGAAACAGCCCGTAAGAGAGAGTGTAACCCTGAGCTGTCAACTCTCTTACCCACGAGCCCTCCGTGAACACAGGCCTCAACGGATGGCCGTCTACCAATGGCGGGCTCCTTCGGTGACACGGTTCCGGCTGCTGAGGCGGGGGCATGTCGGCTTCGTGACATGACTCTTGTTCTGGCATCATGATCATCACCGCCGCCATTACTTTTCACTGGTCGTTTTAGAGCGTTTTCGATCAGCCTGGGTATAAGTATAAACTGTTGTTCGACTGCTATTTGTTTGATGAATGTTGGCATGGGGGGCTGGGCATCATCTGTCTTGGCAGCCTTTGAGGTGCTGCATCTCGGCTGTGGCTTCCGCGTTTCTAGAAAATGGGGTCTCGGACAGGATCGGCCGGACTTTGGAATCGAAGTGTTGGGCGTGTAGGGGCTAGATGAGCGTGCGAGCCAGGGCTCTTGTTGAGAGTGCTTGTGAACGTTGTTTCTTGAGTCTGATGATGGCGGCCGATGGCGGCTGTTCTTTCTCGCCACCAGCCCAATCAGGTCCCACATGATGTCCTCATCTTGGGGAACCCGTACTCCCAAAGCCCCATCGCCCTGAAACCCAGGTGAATCTGCAGAGCTTGGCCTTCCGCGTGGAGGGCCAGCAGATGCAGGCCTTAGACGAGCGCGCGGCGCAGGAGCGGGAGATTCGGTTAGAGTCCGAGGTCTGGTTTAGGGTAAGCTTCTCGTCGTTACTGCGTTCCTGACTATTGCTTCTTTGGTTATCTTTGGTCTTCAGGCAGCAGTAATTTACCGAATTAGCCGAAACTACCCTGCTAGATGCCATTCTTTTCTCTTGTTAGCCTTGTGCTTCTTACAGCCATCCGCCAAGTTTGTTCGGCTGACGCTGCTCCTCATCTTTCTTTGCCGTTGTCTCTGAGTCTCACGTTCGCCCTACTCAGTCTTCGGAAGCGCTCTGGGGTTTTAGGGTGCAGGAATTCTGGCAGGCCTGCAGGAAAATTTCTATACTTTGGAAGGTCCACGACTTCGCTCCGCTTGTCGTTCTCTGAGCCTCAGCGCCTACACTGCAAAGTGGAGCTGTTCACGTCGTTTTGGATTTGGCCGGTCAGATGTTTCACCAGGATCCCGATGTGCTCCACGTCTTCGGTTCGTCTGCTGGGAGCTCGGTTTCAGCTCACCTGCATGTTGAACAGAAGCGAAAATAGACCACAACGAAATGCATGCAAAACAGAGAGCAGGTGCACACCGTTCTAGTTTGTCAAACTTCTTCCATATCCTCTAAAGCAGGCCTTCAGTATTTCCCAGAGGCTTCACATTTAAATGCTAGACTTACAGAAGTCTGCTCGAAAAAGACTTCAACGGACAGCCTAATCTACGCTCGAAACCCTCGACGTTGGAAGGATGATGTAGTTTTGCTGCCGTTTCGGCAAACACAGGGCGGAATTACCAGTGTCATCGCATGGGGGACACCCATGCAAAGCTTTAGTGTATGATACCACCAAGCCCTTCTGCGTTCAACTCGGGAAATGCTTGTCAACATAGTGATTGGATGGAACGAGAGTGTTTTGGGCGTAAATCGAAAGCACACCCCACTTCTCCCGGCCTTCCTGGCTAACGTAGAAGCCTTAATACTTAGAATAGGGTTCTGGGTTTTTTAATACTAGAACCACAATAAGGAACCCCCAAACCCTATTCCTTATTCTAATTATTAAGGCCCCTACGTTGTCCTGAACACTTAGCTGAACCCTGGCATGCCGGAGTGGGTAGCCATGGCTGATAGGCCGAGCGACCAGGACGTTGTGGGTGTGACTACTGTTGTTGTTGTTGTTGTTGGTGGTGGTGGTGGTGGCGGTTCTGATACCGGCGTGGTCCGCCCATCCCAGGCCAAGACGATGCAATGCGTGTCGCTGGGCGACTTCGAGCACCGCCAGGATCGCAAGGTCGTTGGAACCGATTATGCGCCGCCCTGAGCTGCTAAGAGGTGTAGGGTCTAAGAGTATAGGGTCGAGGTCAGCCTGTACAGGTAGCATAAGTAGGGGAGCCACGAAAAGAAGTCGTGGTAACGTAGCGGAAGACGTGGGCTCTAAGGCACAGAATATTGCTCACATCAGCTTCGTGCACCAGTAACAACAGAGAGAACCCTTGCAAAAACATGGAGTCATCCCGAGGTTAAGAGCAGCTAGGCAGCCAGTAGTAACTGCTAGAATTGCTAGGACCGTTGGAAACAGTCGAAGTTTCGATCTGCATAGCTGGTTGCAGTTCCCGAAGCCCAAAACCCTAAACTCTCAACCCTAAGCCCCCAAAAACCCTAACCCAGGTCATCAGCATGTGGGACAAGGAGACAGGTGGCCTTCCGGAGATCGGCCTTTGCGACCGGCTCTACGTGTGCTGGCCACAATCAGACTGGTTCGGCGTTTTTCGGGGTTCAGGGTTTTAGGGTTTCGGGGTGCGCCGAAGCAGTCGGCTGTGTGCGACACATATGCAGGCCTTGCATTCTCGATGTTTCGAAAGACGTTTCGGGGCGGTTTGCGTTGGATTTGATGGCCCGAAGGCTTCGGACTTGCCGCTTAGCACTTCTGGCAGGGTCTTTCCCAGCCATGGGCTTAGACTTTGGGGCGCGAAATATGGAGTTGAACCCATGGTTTACTTACGTTTATCGGCCCCGGGTCTCTCTCTGGCCAGGAGCAGGATCCCAAGAGTCTGAGCCAAAGGACAGCCTCCCTAAACCAAATTAGGCCCTGCAGTTCTTGAATTCCACCCGTCACACTGATAGTCTAAAGCCCTGATCCCTAAATCCTATAATTCCTGCGAACCCTCTTGCCCCAAGCAACAAGGATCCAGACGACCTGGCGACGGAAGAGTTTCTTGGTCCGTTGCAATTGGTTTCCAGCGGTTCGTATCGGATCCAAAAGAAAGGAGGGCTCCTCAGTCGAGTCGTTCGTTCCTCGGCCTGAGAGGTATCGTGGGAGTCTTAGCAAGGTTGAGAAGGCTGATAGGAGTAGTACATGTTCGTCATCGTCCTCGGCGTCACCGTCTTCGTGGATAAGTACTGGCAGTTGCACTTTGTTGTTGAGCTTCCTACGAAGACTTGCATGACTGTTCTGTTCATAGCTCGGTGAGCAGAGCCAGCCGTTGTAGGTCTCGCAATGTTGGCAGTACTACTGCCAGTAGCAGCAGTAGTGGGAGCAGTTAATAGGCTGTGATGAGCATGGTATCTCTGATAAGGTTAACTGAGACTGAGATGCACCGTACTACATGTAATGGTTCCCCAAGTAGTAATCATAATAGTAATCTCCACAGAAATGGCTATCGTCCTGATGAGGCAATGGATCGCCGACTTCTTTGAGCCCATCCGCAAGAAGTACTTCGTCAAGCTGGGGTTTCCGCCAGCTGAAGCCCGGAGAATTCAGCGGAGCTTCAGGGCTGAAGGGTTTTGGGATTGGAGGCCCTAAAACCCTAAACCCTATAACCTAGACCTAGAGGATGCTTCCTGGGTCAACGCAGCAAATCGGAAGCTGAATGCAAATCACGCCGTGGTGGTAGTCAGTGGCAGTGGTTGTGTGCCGCACAGAACTGTCCATGTGCAGGAGTCGCTTAGCTTTCCCGCGGGTGGGCTCATGATCATATCAGGGCACTGCGCATGAAGACAGATTTGCAACCCGAGTGCTGCTGTTGCCAAGGATGTCCAGTTCTACCTCCCGGAGAACACCGTCCCCGAAGACTCCCACGTCGTCATCCTCGCCGGTGGCCACCCCAAGAAATCGTCCACGATCTGGAGCCTCGGCATGAAAAAGTGCAGAGGGTTTTCGGTAGAGCCGCATAGGCTCGCTGATTTACAGAAGCCATGATCAGGAGGGATCCAGCAAGATCTGGTGCATCTTCACACCGCATGCATTGTCAAGATCTGGTGCATCTTCACACCGCATGCATTGTTCACGGTTTCGAGTTCTGCACTTCCTGTGCCTGCTCAACTTGACAAGACTGTCATGTCATGTCAGCCGTCCAGGAAGGAAGTTGTGATCTACAAGGACCGTCCGTTGGGAGCCAATTGGGGCAGGGTTCGTTGGTTCTGGCGTGTGTCGAAGGTCCGTCCGTCGGGCCGTGGCAACTTGGAACGTTTATGCAAAAAGAGAAAAGACGACGAGAAATGTGTGGTCTGTAGCCGTGCAGATGCATCGCACGCTTCGTTTCAATATTACTGGTTTTGTGAGCACAAAAAACACAAAATGCTTCATATACGCTTAGCCAACCCTGGCCAACACCCCTTCATGTATGCATGCACCTGTGCATTCATGTGCGTGTATGTGCAGCCAACAAGCACAAAAACGAAACACCACATCCACCATGCGCAAGGAGGGCAAGGAGAAAGATATTATGCATGCCAGAGCAACAAGGAACAACGAACGAATTGACTAGCTGGTCAATCTACGGGAAAGGTGTGTTTGCGGATGCATCGCGTGCGTGTACAGATGCAGCCACAAATCTGTTTCTGAGTACATAACGCACGTACTCGAACATTGCATGCGCGCATGCCGTGTCCACTTCCACACCAGTGCTGTGAAATGCAGCATAAGGTCCTGTAAGTCGTCCGGATCTCGTTGCAGAAATCAGCTTTATAAAAATCTGGACATATAATTTACTACAGTATATCATATGTAATAATATATTGTCATCTACATGTATATATATATACACACACATATTGGTACTGTGAAAGGATTTCGGCTGCTGCCACGTCTTTGCGATCGAAGCCTGCGGTCGGCGGAAGTATCGTGTGCTCGAAATGTAGCTCGGCTCTGCGAGTTATTTTTGGGATCTAGGGTGTAGGGTTTAGGGTTTAGGGTTCATTTGGGTGTAGGGTTAAGGGTTTAGAGTCTCCGGTTTAGGGTTTAGGGCTTTGGGTTTCGGATTTTGGGTTTAGAGTCTAGGGTTTAGGGTTTCGGATGTAGGGTTTGGAGTCTAGGGTCTAGAGATCTAGGTTCAGGATCTGGCAGGGTCCACTTGGGAAACCTTGGGCACGTTGGGTCTGAACTGGGACTCCGGATGATTATAGGCTATATTATACAGTTATACATAATCAGACTTTCTAGTTATACATAATATGCTATATAGTTATACACCATATACTATATAGTTATACATAATAGACTTTCTAGTTATACATACTAGACTATATAGTTCTACATAATATAGGTACGGCTGACAAACCCGGTGCTACCAGTGGACCAACTTAAGGAGTCCCGTCGCTTTTGGCCGAGTTCTTTTTTTTTTCCGGGTCGTTTATTGGGGTTTAGGGTTTAGGGCTTAGATCCCTCTTTCCTAGTCCTAAATCTGAGGCCTCTACGCACGGAGGCACTTTCAAACATGTGACTCTGTGGTCGGAGAAGACGACAAGCCCCGAGCTGGAAGAGTAGAAAGAACCCCTGATAGCCGCGAGATTGCAAGCAACATGCCGGTGCCTGCAGCTCACCTTCAGGGCGGCTGCGTTCCGTACATGTTGGTGTCGTCTCACCCGTTTGCAGAAAAACTCCTGGACGGCCCTCAAAAATAAGAACAAAATCCTAAGCCCCAAACCCTAAGACCTGTGCCCAAGCCAGTGACGAGGTCGACGGATGCTCGCTTCTGCCACTGGGAGATGCAGCCGGTACGGCCCCCAGTCGTGGGAGATCCTAGCCCATCCTCTCGCAAGACCCTAAGGGCTCCAGTTACCTAAATAGTAGTAGGGTTTAGGGTTTAGGGTTTAGGGTTTAGGGGTTTAGGGTTTAGGGTTTAGGGGTTTAGGGTTTAGGGTTTAGGGTAGGTTACTGGGGTACATAATATGTGGTTAGTAACCCACTATTTAGGTAGCTGGAGGTCTAGGGAGAGATACCGGAGAGACATTGATAGGCACCGGCAGATAATGGTGGATATGCGTTTAGGGTTCAAGAGTTAGGGAGGGTGGTTTAGGATTCACAATTCAGACGGGTTTTACGAAAATTGGTATGCGCAGCTGCAACCTCTAAGTGGTTCCTCCCTAATCTGTCTTTGTCTCTAACGACATCTCTATGTGCCTGTCTATCTGTCCACCAATATTCCGGCATATTCCATCATCCGCACATCTAGCTACCTTCCTAGTTATCTGACTGCCCATCATGCATTGAAGATGCGTCTGTAGGCGTAAATGCAAAGAGGCTTACAGGCAGACAGACAGAAACTGACTTGAAGACGTGCGCGGCTACGCCCTTGTATCATTGTACAGGCTCGTGTCCGTACCTTGTGGACAGAGGTGCATCCGTGCGTTCGTATGTTTATGCAAGCACGCAAGCAAGCAAGGACTTGGAGATTAATTAGTTGCAGTGGTATTTTTGGACTTCTTCATCTCCATTCTTTACTTACTTAAGTTTATAGGTGCCTTGGTGAAAATGTGGGGCCTCTCTCCGACGGGGGGAATCGCAGCCCGAAGATGGCTCGGTTTGAGTGAAGCTGCGTAGCTCCGTCATTCGAGAGTTCGGGCTCCTGAAGCCCTAAACTCTGCTCCCCTAAACCCTAAACCCTTAAACCCTTAAGCCCTAAACCATTCGCCCAGGAGTCCAGCATGGTGAACTATGGGGACCAGATGCAGGTGGACAAACGCCCACGGGATCCCTGGCCAGCGTCTTTACGGCAAGACCTTGGGTCCTGAGATTGTCGGGCTGTTGGGGTGACATTGCAAGTCACTGGCACTTTAGCTTTGGGCCGGGGGGGGGGGCGAGAGTCTACGAGCACGAACTCCCAACACCTCCGCTTCAAAACTCCGATATTTGGATGGAACTGGTGCGTGATAGATTTGCATTTTGTCCGATGAATTCCTCAGTCCATGCCCTTGCCCTGTAACATCACAATAAGACCAATAAGACGTGCGGGTACATGGGCGGTCCAAGCATGTTCTATCATTGTACTGCCGCCTACCCCAGAGCCGTGTTGGACAAACCTCATGTGAGGGCCACATATGGCGAGCCATGTCACATTTAGACCTAGGATCGGTGGATAGCACAATCGAGCCGTTGCTGCGTGAAGCCTTTTTTCAAAATTCATTTCGCTTCAGAACCCCGAGTATTGAATTTCAGCATACATATCCGTTTATCAATCTATCTATCTATCTATCTATCTACCTTTCTGTTCATCTATCTATCTGTCTATTTTTCTATCTATATCTATATCTATCCCCATATCTATATCTATATCTGTATCTATATCTATATCTATAGTGTTATCTATCTCTATCTTTATCTATAATCATCCATCTTTATTTGTCTTTATCTATCTTTATCTAGCTTTATCTATCCTTATCTATCTATCTATCCATCTATCCATCTATCCATCTATCCATCTATCCATCTATCCATCAGTATCTGTCTATCTATCTATCTATCTATCCATCAATCCCTCTCTCTCTCTCTCCCTCTATATATATATATATATACATACATATATATATATATATACATACATACATATATATATATATCATATATACAATACACATACATATCT